ATTGTTTATTTTGAAGATACATGTTGTATTACATGTATTAGTACATGATTTGTTTTGGAATTTTTCCATATGTAGATTCTGTACATATAAGAATCCTTGTACTAGTGGGACCTTGTAATGTAAACTATATTTTCATGTAATGAAATATGTGTTATATGCAAATGTGGTATTTGGGGGTGTTGCAATAGCCCCAATAATATCACTTTTTGAGCATGAAAGTAGAACCATAACATTGAAAAACCAAAGCTGGACAGGGACACATAATTCTACAAACTGGGACAAGGTTTCTTTCGTCTAACTCGATCATAAAGCATAGTCCTGGGATGAGGGAGAAAAAATTATTGCATCARCATTCATAGTTCWATCGCYTTTTTACAYATTATACTGATATAAACTAATTTGGAAAGATTCCATTTTTTGTTCTTGAGAATTTCCTTAGATTCAGATTGATCTTTTGAGTAATGAAGTCGAAACACTTTTACGCCTTCTTGTGAAAATATATATAGCTCATTATCAACACTCGCCCGTCTTGCAACATCACCGGGGGTAAGACAAGATTCATTTATTTAGCAGGAATACATCCCAATCTTTTCTTTTTCAAAAACTATATAACTATGTTTTTCTACTTTGTTATTATGTGGTCATTATAAATTGAAGTTCAAATCAAATCTCCCTGTTGACTGTTTTATATCTTTGGTATAATGTAACAAAACCCATTAGAAATCAATATGAAATGTTCAGTTGTAGATTAATGTTCAGTTTAACTATTAGGAACCGTTTGGTTCACAGAATGGAATTTGATAGAATTGGAATCCATTAAAAGAATTTTACTTTGAAGGAATTTGAATGAAATCAGATGGAATCTGATAACATGTTTGATTGGTAGGAATTGAAATAGATTTAATTTTTTAATTTTTTCACCTATAGCAACGATAAGTCGTCGCATTAGTTAAAAGATTCATTTTTTACTTTTTGTTATCTTTATTTAGCATCGATAAGTCGTCATAGTATTTAATTTTAAAAATTTCACCTATAGCATCAATTAGTCATCACAGTAGATGAAATATTTAATTCTTAATTGTTTTATGTTGGTTGCGACGATTTATTGATAGGAAGCTACAACTACGAACAAACAGTGAAAAGCTCTACATCGACAGAACTGGTCACAATAGATCTAGAGCGATGAATTTTTGATCTTTCAGTTGTCGCAATAGGTTAGATTTCGTGTAGTGACTTGTGGGGAACATGCATGTCTCACAACGATTCTTCAATTTAAGTTCAAGGTTTTTGCACTTCCTGGTCCCTTTATAAATCATTATCATCCATTCGAACTATTAAGATATTAACTTAAATTTCTAATCCCTTAATAAACAGCCTTTATATAAGTTCTAAAAATGCATTCGTTTATTTCTTCAAACAATATGTAACTGATCTTAATTAAGAAATTATAGGAACATTATTGCATTTTAAAGCAACTTAATCCAATGACTAACTAAACATCGTCGTCAAGTGGGAAAATGTTCACGAATAAATTTTGGGAAAAGAAGTTTTGCCAAGGTTAGAAGGTATTAAATCTAATTTTTTATTTCACAGGGCATGACAATGGCTTTTCATGATAAAAGAATATTAAGCTTCATATTTAAATTATGATTTCCAAACAAGCTATATGCCTTAGAACTTGGATTTCAATTTTCAAAAATCAAAGAAAACATACATATTTTTCTTTGGTTACATTCAGATACACTACTTTAGAATGTTTTAGTAACCTGTAGGAGAAGTATGAGCAATTACGGGATGAGAAGTATGCCGGTTTAGAATCCAACACCCCATCCTACTAATAAACTGTAGTTGTGGGAGTGGATCGTTGGATGCCAAAAGAAGGATGACTTGTTTGGATTCAGGAGTACTCAAAATCCCGAGTATGGTATGACCAATGATCATGACAGAGCTCTGGAACAGCTTACACTGATCGACATCAGAATACTAATCATTGTCAAATGTTTTAAATTTGTAGGTACTTGAGTTAGAAGCGAAGTTGGCTACATAGAGGAGGAACGGTAGACACGGGAAGGTTAGTGGCTCCGTGGGAGCCAAAGCTTGAGGCCTAGTTGGGTGCCAAAAGAGACTAGTTATAGAACCGGAGGTGTGACATGCCAAGTTAGCCGAGCATACCTTATTTTTTAAGTTGTTAACTTATTTAATGCGTTAGTAGCGGTTTTTTGTATGTATTATACGGACATATTTTTATGAATAACTTCCTTTTAATATTTAATGTATGGATGACTTTTTTATATGTATTGTACTGACATGTTTTGGTAAAGGTAAACAAAATACCATTTTGTTACACTTTTTAATTTTTAAAAAATAAACGAGAATGGATCACCAAATTAAGGGAAAACCGTAGTAAGTTCTTAATTCGTGGATATTATTGGTCTTCGGTAGTCCATCATCATACCCGACTTCGATAATTGGTGATACTACATACCTTTCAATAAGTCAGCGATGATACTTCTTCGGATGGTATGTCAGTAGTGGCAGGTGGCTTATTGATCTCTGAGTTATTTCCTTCGGTGACCCACAGGGAAAGTCTTGACCCACGCATGTTTCGAGGATGGACACTCATCAATATATCACTGATTGACTAGACCTTTACCAATGGATTACCAAAGGACGTGTCCCTAATTGGTGTGCCTTCACCGATAGGTAGCAAGTATGTTAAAAAGTGCCTATGGCCTTTTTTAGTAGTTATTCACTATATGAAACGAAGGTGTTAAAACATGAAGAAAAAAAAAACCAAACGTATAATTCATAAATTATATATACGTGTATATGTATGTAGATATATATATATATATATATATATACAAATCATTTACATACCATCCGAAGATTATAAAACTATACAAACTCATTTACACGATTCCTTTTTATCTTGGTGAGGATTTTCAATTTTAGTTGATGAAAAATAAGAATAGCGCAATTTTACAAGACATGTAAACATTTTAAATTTAAATTTCAATAATTTTACTAATGATCACCATTTATATTTTATATTTATTGTCACCATCTCTCTTTCTCCAACCCTTCATTAATTTCTTTTATTCAAATTTTCAAATAAACCGTTTTACCATATTTCATTTTTCATTTTCTCTTTTTTCTTTTTCAATTTTTGAAAGAATTTATTGTGTATGTTCTATATGTTACATGCAATGTGTGGAATGAGATGTTACATTTGTATAGCGTGCTCTTCGTGTTAGTAGTCTGTTTAGTTTGAAGGAGGCTGGCAGATGAAGATCGCTAGGGATGGAGGGGTGGGAAGAAGTGAAAGGGTGAGGACCATGACATTGTTTTTGTGGATGTTTGCAATGATATTTTTATTTTCTGYAATAGAAAATAAATAAAATGAATAAAGTGCTACTTTGATTATCTTATTTGCAAGAATATTTTTAACAGACTTGGGGCAAAAAAAAAGATGTTCTAAAATTCAATCTATGAGACTGTAACGTTTTAAATTTGAAGACTTGAAATGTTATAACATGTAACGCAAAAGAGACAAATAATGAAGCACCACATAGGCATTTGCTACTGCAGGCTCTCTGCCAGAGGTCTTTTAACACTCATATTCTCAACAAACTCTTGAAATAGCATAAGCTGTTTTTAGAAAAGCTCAAGTATAATCAATGTCAAAAAGGCTTTTCGTAGTATACCACTGGAAAAACGGGTTTATAGGAYGACAGTGTTTTAATAGTTTTTTTTACAGGACTTAATTTAGAGAATCAAAACATGAAGTGTCTTATTTAAAGGCGYTGTAATAARTTTTGAAAAAGTGTCCGATAAAAACAAATGTAATATAAAACAATGAGTTTATAGGGCACTTTATCAAAAATGTGTCCTATAAAATTGATAATATGACGTTTTGTATTAAAAGTGTTCTAAAGATCTTGTTAAGACATTTAAAAGCGTCTTATAAACTTATTACAACGCTTTTGTATATGGTGCTTTAATTTTTGATCCTATAAATGAAGTCTTATAAAGTGTCTTATTAGGACGCATGAAAATTATTGATATCCTATAAATGAAGTCTTATAAAGTGTCTTATTAGGACGCATGAAAATTATTGGTATCCTATATAAACGAGGTTTTGTTGTGGTATATAGTACTTGTGTCTAGAAATAATAGGATTTGTGTTCATATAGATCTGAAAGAGTAATCCACAATCATAAGTTGAAAAAAAATGACATCCCACGTACCCAAAAGTATTATTTTGGTATTGCCTCAAACACTAGAAGTGAAGTGTCCAAATGGATTTAAATGCAGTATGCCTTTGAACATGTTTTTTATTTCAATTTTCAGAAGTGAAGCAAAGCATACAACACATAAATATGTATAGTGGAAACAAAAAGTGTGAGGGTTGAGGAAATATACGTAAAATTTTCTTTACGTTTTAATTATATCACACAAGTTTTCTTACAAAATCTCAATTTGGCATTTAATTACAAATTAATTGCATCATAATTTAAGAAGACAATAGCTCCATTCATTATAACTCAATTTAAGAAGACAATTTAATWASRASGCAATTGGTTTTAATTATTATCGAGCGTCATTTTATACACCATGCACGCTTATTGTAAAAAATGCACGTTATTTTTCTTTTCGTTGTCAACGTTCCAACATCCTAATTTAGAAATTACGACATCGGATGGTTAACTACCCTTTTTGTAAATWYTCCRTGTAATTTTATTAACCTGAGTTGCACAATCATAAATTTATCAAATTGCTTATGAAATTCAATTTGTTTACTRACTAGATTTTCATCTAGGTTATAGTTATTTTGCCAACCTCATAGCAAATTCATTTAAGTAAGCWTTTACTTTTACACTTCTAATAATTTATTTTTGAGGATCTAATTTTAAAGTAATTGTACAAAGCCGCCTCATGATGGCGATATGTTTCTATCGTGGAGTGTCTCTCTTTCTATAAATTCAAGCAAGAGATGCCTACAGAAAACACAACTCCTCTAGAGTTGTGTTAATTTCTCTCTTTGCATTCTTCGAGTAGGGGAAAATGATGCRAGCAACATACATYACAGTATGTGCAGTAGCTGTTTTGGTGATGGTCTTGGCCGGATCCCCGGTGACGACTGCGACGACATGCTTGGTGGCGGACCTAACGCCATGTTTTGCATCGTTCCCAACTCCAATTCGATTGTTACTATCACGACCAACACCACTGCCCAGGTCACCATCSCKACCTTCATTGCCACCTAGGCCATCAATGCCACCTTCGTCCCCACCCAGGTCATCCCCGCCACCATCGTCCCCGCCCAGGTCATCACCGCCACCATCAGTGCCACCCAGGTTATCACCTCCCCCTTCGTCACCACCTAGGTCATCCCCGCCACCTTCATCCCCACCCAGRCCATCACCGCCACCMTCAGTGCCACCCAGGTTCTCACCTCCTCCTTCTTCRCCACCTAGGTCATCCCCGCCACCTTCATCCCCACCCAGGTCATCACCTCCACCTTTGTCGCCACCCAGGTCATCACCACCACCCAGGTCATCACCACCGCCTCCTTCGTCACCACTGCCACCACCGTCACCACCGCCACCAACATCACCACCGCCTCCTTCGTCACCACCGCCACTACCATCACCACCACCACCATCACCACCGCCTCCTGCGTCACCACCGCCGCCACCACCATCACCACCGCCTCCTTCGTCATCACCGCCACCACCACCACCATCAAACCTATGTTGCAGGAGATTGGCAGAACAACTCTCATGCATATGCCAGTACATAAGGATCCCAATAGTGAGAGAGTATATTATTTCTCCWAAGTTCAAGAAAATTGCTAGCACTTGTGGGGTTACGCTTCCTAACTGCTAATATATTGACCCCCCAAGTGATTAAGGAGAATACTACTCCTAATGTTTCTGTTTCGTTCTCTCTTTCTCAAGTTACTTGAGTTGTGCCGAGAACTTTTTATATTTTATGAGTGTGTCTTATATATTTAAAAATAAACTAGTTTTATCATTGAATAAAAAGTCTTTGGGGAGAAGTTATGGTCTTATGTATATTGGGTTTAGCTTTCAATAAAACTTGGTATTTAGAAAGTATTTGGAATTACTGTTGTGAGATTTAATTGGATTTCTATAAAAATGGTTTTTGAAAGTAATAAAAAATTGATAATGTAAACGTCCTTGAACAAACGTAGAATAACCGTTGTTGGCAAATAAATTACTTGTAGAGAAATAATTACTACAAAATTTGAACAAAATATGGTTATATAACCTTATGGTACACCATTGTAATAGGATAATCATACATTGTAATAGGATAATCATACATGGTTGGAAAACCAGGAGCTATTATAGAATGGAATTTGATTTGTTATGAGGAACTACATTACATTTGTTATAAAAAAAGATCTCAACAAGTGGGTTGTAATTACTACTTAGCATTGAAACATAATGAGCTCATAAGATGACAGAGAGTCTTTGTACTTCAAATATGATCTGTTAAGCCTTATAAATGTAAACTGATTACATTTTTTATACTTGGGAAAATTTATGGGTTCTAAAATGATTTCTAAAGATGTGTTCAGAGGACCAAACTGTTCTCTTAAGACCATTTAGAAATCAAGTGCTAGGAGGATTCAAGATATCGACAACTATCAAATTTCCAAAGACAGGTAATCAAGCCATAGAAAATGAGAACCAAGATTTGTAGGGAATTGATCAAACATTCCGAAGAGTTCAATGATGAAGATATCATAAATTATTAATGTTGATTGTGCATGAACAAAAATGTTCAGAAGGTGTGAATAACAAATGCCAAGTTCATATATATTATGTCCTTATATCTCTTGTTGCAATATATATTTTACTAGAAATAAGTAGGGTGATTCTATTTGTACTCGACTAATTATAAGATGCACGCCGAATATATATAAACAAGGTGATGAAAGAAATAATTTAGAAGGGGGATTGTTTGTTAATTTCAAACAATCATGCCGATATAACTAAACTAAAAAAATTTAGAATGAACAGAATCAAACATGGTTTATAAAATAGTACAATAAAATTGAGTTTATAGGATATTATCAATTTCTAAGCGTCTTAGTAGACTATTTTATAGGAATTAATTTATATTACCAAAAAATAAAGCGTCCTTAAATTTTGTAATAAGTTTATAGAACATTTTTGAGAAAACAAGACACCTTTTCAATTAGTGTCCTATAAAATTGCTAATACGATGCTTCCTAATTAAAGTGCCCCTAAAAATTGTTTTAGACGTCCAAAAGCGTCATGTAAACTTATTACAATGCCTTTAGAAAGGACGGTTTATTTTTTGAGTCATATAAATTAAGTGTTATAAAACGGTCTATTAGGACGCTTATAGATAGAACATTCGTATTACGCAACTAAAACGGCTCTAGCTAATAACAAGCTCTAATGACCAATTTCAACATACATGGCATTCAATCAAAATAAGCTCTACAATTGGAACTTAACACTCAAATTGATTAAAGCAAGATCATAAATCCTAGATGAGGTTAGCATGAAGTTCTAATCGAACCTAATTACAAAAGTCTAACACAAAAGCTTGGTTAACCTTTTCTTTAATCATTCTCCTAACTCCCTTAACGTCAAGTAGATATATGTGACAAAATTCACTACTTTAATTGTGATAAACATCAATCCCATAAATAATTATGTATTGGATATTGATTTAACTATTTGCTATCAAATTATCACACAAGTGATTAAACTGTATTATGAATATCACTACAAGTAGGCTGTCACTGGCATCTAGATAGGAACTATTTATAGAGCAAGTATCAACTATCATGTAAATTAAAAGCTCACATAACCTTTTTTTAATCATTTTCCTAACTCCGTTAACATCAAGGGGATATTGGTGACAATATTCAATATGTTAATGGAGACTAACATCAATTCCATAAGAGATTAACTAGTTATAGCTTGATTTAACTATTTTATATCAAATCATCACATAAGTGAACCATTGTTGAGTTTTTATTACATTGAATTATGATCATTTTAATAGAATGTTTAGTCTGTTAATCAAATCTAACCTCCCTTCCCTTTGGTATTTACTTTTAAATATTCCTTCTTATACTTGATATTTCTAGTATTGAGAACTTGATCAAGCCGAGTCTCTGAGGATTCAACCCAACTTATCATTATTATGATCTTGGTGATAACWAGTGCATAGTTAGAATTATTCGGGTGACATCCGTCAATTCGAATGTCATTATATCATGCCCATCTTTGGCCTTGGAATCAAATGCATGAGATATAAGATTTGAGCCAAGTTACCAAAACTAATTGATTTTATTGAATCATGGAAGAAGAATTTTGTAATTGCTCTTCCTAATAAATAAAGTTTCTCCTGCATTGAATATCAAGTACGTTTCGTAATTTACAGATAGAAGACCCGCCATGGCTGCTCGTACTTGCTCCACCATTTGTTGTATTTCCTTTCCAATTTTGTTCCAAAAATACAAGCACTATTTTCCGCTGCTTYCTATGAACTTTGATGTCATCACTACTTACAACATCATAGCTCGAGGTATATTTCAACGAAGACATATTTGCTGCCAATTTGTCCTAAGATTATCTAAAACATAGATTATCTATTTCAATATTAACAAACATATATGGTATCATCATGAACTCCCTAGAAAWTGGTCGAATATTTTCAACTAATATTTATAATAAGTACTACATATACACTGTAAAATAAATAACTTTTAMCMACAAAAATCATCCAGATAAWTTTTTTTCGTGGGTGATTATCGACGGATCACCGAGAAAGGATTGACAAACTAACTGACAGCTCTTTCTTGATTTTATGGGTGGTGGTGCATGGTCGTTCTTAGTTGGTGGAGTGATTTGTCTGGTTAATTCCTTTAACGGATGAWACATTAGCCTTGCTAACTAGCTATGTSGAGGTGTCCCTCCACAACTGGATTCTTAGAAGGATTATGGCCTTTCAGGCCACAGAAGTTTAAGGCAATAACACGTATGTGATGCCCTTATATGTTTTGGGTCGCACRCGTGCTACACTGATGCATTCAACGAGTAAATAGCCTTGGCTGACAGAACAGGGAAATTTTTGAAATTTCATCACAATGGAGATAGATTATTGCAGTTGTTGGTCTTAAACGATGAATTCCTAGTAAATGCGAGTCATCACCTCGAGTTGACTACGCTCTTACCGACTGAATGGTTCGGTGAAGTGTTAGGATTGCGGCAACGTAGGCGGTTTGTTGTCCGCGATGTCGCAAGAATTCCACTAAACCTTATCATGTAGAGGAAGGAGAAATCGTAACAAGGTTTCCGTATGTGAACCCACAGAAGGATCATTGTCAAAGCCTGCACAGAAGAACGACCCGTGAACACGTAATCATAGCCTGACGTCGAGGGATCAAACAAAGTTCGCGGTGCCCCGCCTGCGTGCGAGCACGATACCCCGTTTGAAGGCATCGTGGACGTCGCGTCGGCAGGTAAACAGACCCCGATATGACATGTGCTAAGGAAAACCAAACATAAGAAGGGTGCATCCTGTATCACCCATTCGTAGAGTGCGCACGGGCCGTGACCTCTCAATAACGACAAATGACTTTGAAAACTGACCATCCAATCAATTTCAATGCCATATAACATTTAGATTGCCACGAGACAAATGCACATGACCTAGTCACCGTGCTATAATCGTATGACTTAATGAACATGCCATTTCAAGTTCTCGGCTTCAATTAATATTTGTGCATTCAAATGATATTTGTCTATTGATTATATATATACCAAAAAGCCATAATCTCCATAAAAAATTGGTATTGTTAAAAATGAAAATACTAATTAATAAAGCACATGAAATTATTTACAACTCTTTAAGGTATTAACTAATATCACTTAAATTTCTACAACAAAATGTACTAGTTTATTTTTTCAAACCCTATGTAACCAATCTTAAGTAAGAAATTATAGCAACATCGTTGTGCGGAAAATTATTTTCCATGTAATTTGATCGGCATGCTTTAAGGCTACTTAATTTCCAATGACTAACTAAGCACCGTCGTCAAATGGAAAAATATTGACGAAATAAACGATCCGATGGTAGATATTGGAAATAGAAGTTTTGCGAATGTATTAAATCTAATTTTTTATATCTTAAGGCACAACAATGTATAGATATTCTAGGTTTTTTAGGAGAGTTATTTTATTTAGATTGTTGGATAAATTTTTTGATTTAGGGTATAGGTACGTTGGGTTCAAATGTTTTTAGAAATTGGCAAAAACTTGTTGCCTATGTTCCTGTGTTCATGATCATGGTATAAAAAATATTTAAATTACAGTTGTTTTGCTTATTATCATGCAATTTTTAAAATAAAATTCATTTTATATACCATTTAAGTTAGTGGCGAAGCCAGGATTTTAGAGGAGCGAGTGTACAACAAAAAGCTTAAGAATTTTCTTTAAGTAAAATACGAATTTGTTAATAAGATAAAAGAAGTTACCTTCTACAATTGTTCTCGACAAGGTCGCATCTTTTGAAAGCGGGTAATTACATCATCATTCTTGACATTGTGAAACGCTTCTTTTTCGACGGCACAAATGACCACGGCATTCAAAAACTCATCCCCCATTTGATTGTGCAAATTCGACTTCAGAAGAGTCATTGTAGAAAAACATCTTTTAACTGAAGCGGTTGCAACGGGTAAATTCTAAGCCAACTTCAATGATTGATAAACTAACTG